AGCGCAGGTTGTCATGCCAACTAGTGCTACTGTTTAAAAAGGGGGAGAAAAAGAAGTGTTCCTTCCTACACAAACCTTTCAGCAGGGCTTCACATCAGTCTTTAAAAACATGAAAACTCCTAGCACTGGAGATACGGTAACCATTGCGCTTATGTTTAAACCCGTTAGGATGAGGATGTGATGCTCCTTTGGTTTGAATTCCCTTTGCACACAGCGCTCCTTGCCCAGGATCCGGCTGAACAGCGCCCCGAGAGAAAGAAAGGCACCGTGTGGGCACACAAGAAAGCAGCCCATCTTGAGGCGAGACTTCCATCTTGAACCACGGAGACGGAGAGGAGAGCTTTTCTGCAAAGTGGCTCTGCTCCCCGCATAAGCACCGTTCTTAAAGGGCGGAGTCTGCACAATGCTTACGACACACACAAAGGTGTCGTGACTATGAGAAGGTGGACTGGGGGCCCCCCACCCTGTTCCTGCTGGTGCGGGAGTGCCTGGGCCCGCGCTAGCCGCGTCCTGATGCATAAGTGTTGACGCTGTTTGGGGACAAGAGAAGGGAGGAAGGTATGAGGACAGGGTGGGAAGGAGGCAAGACCTCTCCTCTCACAGCAGCCTGGTGGAGGTGAACTCTTCTGTTCATGAAAGATTCTACCCAGAAGAAAGGAAGGTTCCTGCAGCGGCACAGAGGCAAAGAGAATCTGCTCACAGAGCAGCTGAAGGATGATGTGCCAGACACGTCAGGGCCTGGCAACCTGGCTCCATGCTTTCACCCAATGTCCTCGCCTCCTCTCCTCCCTCCATGAGAGCAAGGCCTCATGTCCCTGCACCTCCGTGACCTTGATAATGAGGGTGTCCCTCTGCTCTTAGACTTAATTCCTGTCAGGCCCCGAAGAGCCAATTCATACATCAGCTGTTTGTCATTCTCCCTGGCACCCCCAACCTGCCAGCTCTGCTGCACCCGGCCTAGTCCCTTCACCTGCAATTAACGTGCCTTGCACTATCTAGTCTTCTCTAACTGGTTACCTTTCCATGTGTTGTTTTCTGATTTCCTTATATAGACTGGAAGTTTCTGGAAGACAAGATACTGTTTTTGTATACTTAGTTGCTTGCCCCATGCCTGGCAACTCCTGGGCACCCAGCGGTAGAAACAGCACAGCAGCACGCGGCCGCTGTTTAATGAGCTCTACGTGTAGGGCTCCGTTCTGAGCACTTTACGTGAATTAGCGAATAACCCTCAGAATGATCTGACATAGGTGTGATTATTATGCCTATTTTACAGAAGGAAAGACTGAGGCATAAGAGGTTAATGATTTGCCGGGATCACACAACTAGTAAGCGGCAGAACCAGAACTCAAACCGAAGCTCTCTGACTCTAGGGCCTGTGCCCAGGACACATGAGATGGCTGACCCGGGTTTGGGGGTTGAGGAGGCAGGGCTGGGGTGGGGATGTCAATGGAGGGGAGGAGAATGATGGGGAATATCCACAATAAAACGTCTATGATACTGTCCCATTCCTTGAAACTTACATAGATGTACATGCACTTGTTCATAAAGAGATATAGGACAAAGTGATCTCTAAAATGTCAGTGGGTAGTCAACTCTTTCAGAAGAGTGGGATTCTCAGTGACTTTTTTCTTTTCCATGTTTGTATGTAATGTTTGATTCTTCAAGGAGTCTGCTGGGCTGTAGCACGGGGCAGAAAGACAATGAAGTTGTTTTCATTACAGGAGGAAAAGGAAAGCAAAACAAAATAAAAAGAGGGAGAAAAAGAAGGGGCAAGGGGGACAGCCATGAAATGTTTCTCAACAGAAGGGTGTTTGAGAAAGATCACTGTGGTGACGAGGCAGCAGATGAAGACAGGATATAAACAACCGCCACGTGAATGATAATGATAATCCCCACATCCGTGGGGCCCAGAGAAATAATGCAGGAAGGTTAAAAGCCAGTTACTCGGCAGCAGCACTGTCGCCACGGCCCAGTGTCCACCAACCGATAAATGGAGAGACAAATCGTGGTCTATCCATACAATGGGAGGTTACTCAGCCATAAGAAGGAATGAAGGGCGGATACATGCTACCATGTGGATGACCCTGAAAGCATTACGCCAAGTGAAAGACGCCAGACACAAAGGGTCACGTGATGGGTGATTCCATTTACATGAAATACTCAAACTAGGTAAATCCACGGGTCAGAAAGCGGATTAGTAGCTGCCAGGGCCTGGGGGCAGGGAGGAGTGGGGACAGCTGCTCAGTGGGGCCGGGGTGTCCTCCCAGGGTGATGAAAGTGTTTTGAAATTAGAGGTGATGGTTGTACAACAGGGTGAATGTACTAAATGCCACTGAATTGTACCTTTTAAAGTGGTTGAGTGTATGTGAATTGTACCTTTTAAAGTGGCTGAGTGTATGTTATGTAAATTTACCGCAATTAAAAAAAAAATCCAGTTAGCCTTTTAACCTAAAGTCCTCAGGAAATGGAAGAGCAGATGAGAAGAAAGAAAGGAAGGGTGGGGGGGAAGGAAGGAAGGAAACATACAATACAAACTGGGGGGGGGGAAGGGGAAGGAGGGAAGGGAGGGACGGAGTAAGGGAGGGAAGAAGGGAGGGAGGGAGGAAGGAAGGGAGGGAGGGAGGAAGGGAGGGAGGGAGGGAGGAAGGAAACCCCAGCAAATGAGGGAAGCGGGACACTTTAAGTCATGGCCTGAGACCAAGGGAGAGAGGTCGGTGCTCAGCCAAGGGCGGACCAAGACCCTCCTCCAAGAGGCGAGCTCTCCAAAACCAGGGCCAGCCCTCGAGATGCTGTGCACCTGCGCCTTCCTCCTAAGACAGCTCTACTTAGATCTGCTTCACCGTGGCCGCCACATGTGCACTGGGGGAAGCTCCATCTGCAAAACTAAGTAGAAATAGCAAGAAAAGCTAAGGCTAAGGATTCAGATCCGTCATTACTGGATGAGACCCTGTGTGGAGACCCCCCCCCGGCAGCAGCCAGCCCAGATGGCAACTGCTTGCTGCTTGGCGGCCTTCCTCTAGGCTGGGAGCCGCTCATGGACAGGGACCCCGCCTCGCCCACGGCTGCATCCCCGGCCTGAATCACAGCCCCTGGCACAGAACCAGGGGCTGCATTTATATGTGTTAAAGAAATGAATGTCCTCTATTATATATATATTTGATCCATCGATTTATATGTTTAATAGATAAAACACAGATATGGCACGAAATTCAAAAGGCTCCAAGGGATATACAGTGATAAATTCCCCTTTCTTCCACCGTTCTGCTCCAGCACTTTCAAGGCAATCCCTGACGCTGTTTCCACTGTTGTCAATGTGACTAGAGCGTATTCTGAATTGCAAAGGCTCCGGCAACCAACCAGACTAACCCAGTGACTTGGGCGTCAGGTCATCACCACGAGATGAAGCTACATGTGACGTCAAGGTGAAAGTCATCTGGCTGAAGACAAGGTCCCAGGATTCCGTGCCGGGCAGAGGCCCATGCCGGGGAGCTGCGGGCTCGCGGAGGAATGCCGCTAGGATGACAGCCGTGCCCCTGGAGTCACTTGTGGCACGACGAGAAGCCTGTGGGCAGGGGCCGTCCAGCCTGTCAGCCTCAGGCTCCTCACACCTGCTGCGGACACAGGGGAATTTCAAGCTGGGGACAGGTTCTGTTGCTACATGATGGGAGGAAAGCAGACGTGCAAACCACGCTCAACCCTGGCCTCTGAGAAACTTTTAGTGGTTTGTCGGGGGTGGAGGGGAGTTCACCTTAAGAGAACTCAGCTGTGAGCTGGGTGGCACCACAGATGGGCTCTTTGGTGGAAGCGGCGGACAGGAACTAAGCTGGCCAGAAGGAGGCGGTCCCAGGAAGCCAAAGCCCCTGGGGTGGTAAAGAATCTGGGCCAATCCCGAGCCTGGGCAGTGTCCCAGGGGGTATACCGTGTATGACAGGAACATCTGGACTCATTGCCTTATCTAAGCCAGATTGCGAGGGCTTTTTGTTTTTTTTTTTTGAAGACTGAGTAACCATTGCCCTGTATAGTCACCAAACCAAAGACTAAAAAAAGATCCAAGCCACGCAGGCTCATCTGTTCTCCAAGGCTCCTGCCTAATGTGGCGATGCACCGGCAGGCAGGCTACAGGGTGAGCTGGGTGCTTATCTGATTTCAGCCAATCTGTTACTGTATTTCATTCCCTGTCCTCGTGCCCAGAGGCTGTTGCAATGTGTGTAAATTTAGAAAAAGAAAGATAAATAACATGGAAAAGTTCATTTTAACAAAAGGAGTTGTCTTTCTTCCCTTCTTTCTTTTTACTTCACTAAAGAGAAGATAAAATGATCTTGTTACTGATTTAGCCCCTACCAGGGTGGATTTGGTATTCTGGGCAGGGACTCAATAACGCATAACCGCAGCCTCGGATTAACCAGCTTCTTCTGAAACTGGAAAACCGTCAGGCTTCCATCCTAAGTGTTTCTTAGCAGCTGAGGGAATGAGATTGCAATGCCTGGTACAAGATCTGTAAGCAACTGGGGTCTCTTCTGAACAAGTAAAACACTCTACGTGACGACAGCGTTTACTTCCCGTGAAGCCTGTACCAGCTCACCCAACGTACACTGTGCCGGAAGATGCCAGCTCACCAGGAGTTATGCATTGATACTTTATATAAAATAAGACCTGTTTTACAAGGAAATTAATAGCACAGATGGGAGATTGGGGTTATGGTGGAAATTACACTGAAAGAGAAACTGCTTGAGAAACGCTTGCCTTCTCTCATACGTGAACTCACCCCAGTGGGTTTATGGACCCTTGGTAGGAGATGACCACCAATGAATTCCACCACCTAATCATTTAGCCCAATTCACATTTTGCAGAGATGGAAACCAAAGTTAAGGGATGGGCCCAAGGTCACATGGCTGCCAGCGACAGGGGGTGGGGACAAGACCAGGTCCCACAGCTCTTCACAGTGCTGGTACTGCCAGCACTACCCACTGCTGGAAGTCAACCAGACTCAAGGGCTGTACCTCTGACAGCATCTCATACTGGCCTCTTCTTCCAAGAGCGATGGTCAGTAAATCATAGACCACAGATGCACTCTGTAAACTGATGAGACGGTCGCTCCTGTGCTCAGGTATCCTGCTCAGCACAGCGTCCCGGTTGGCCTGGAAACAACACAGAAGAGAGAAGCAGACGGTGAGCTAGCCCGTGCACACAGCTGCCACCGTGCGCAGAGAAGCCATCCAGGCTCTCCTGCCCCTGGGAGCTTGCCGCGGGTCTGGAGACAAGGACACAAATGAGACAGGGGTCATTTATTCAAAATCCCCAGAGCACCACAGCACACGGTAACATGGTATTATCCAAACACTGAAGGCCTGGCGGGCACTTGTCCCTGTCAGCAGGCGTCTGGAGGAAGCTTTAGGAGTCGATGCAAAGCAGGGTGGTTCCTCCTGGGCTCAGGTTCACAGACAGCCATGCTGCAGACACAGCTGCGCTCTGGGGCAGCAGAATCATCCACCAAGTGAAGCCCTGCTGCGCCTCACTTGTAGATCCTGCTTCTGCTGTACATTACAGAGCGGGAGAAAATTCCCAGCCCCACACTTCCCATCACCAAATGGTGTCATCACGTTCCATCAGTCCAACAGAGATATAGCGTACTTTTCCTCTCTCACCCAAGTCACGTTCAAATCCCTATATGACATCTTCACTGGAACAGACTACAGAAACTAATTCAACTTTGTTTAGGGAAGCACAAAACAGATGTACAAGAGACAGCAAGAAGCAAACGGATTTTTGTTTTAAAAGATGTTAGCACAGAGGACCCAGAACACCAGGGCATGCCTATTTCACTTCCCCACTGCTTAGCACAGAAATACAGCAGGTGCGTTCAAGCTTATTTACCTCATCTATCTAGAAATCAACCGCTCTTCACAGTGACTTGCTTTCATTACTTTTGAAATTTCTCCCCCGATTCCTCCAGACATATCACATGTACTGGAGACTCTAGACATAGCTCATTTTCCTTTTCGCCCTAATAGGGAGTTCAGTATCAATAAAGTTAGATTTTTCCTGTCTTCTTTTCCTTGCTAAGGAACAGAAGTCCATCCCTAGGAGCACAGAAAGGGCCCCTCCGTTCTCCCCATGGAAGTGGCACGTGCAGGACGAGGGTCACCGGTCCAGGGGGGCTGACGTCTACCTTCCTGCCTGACACTTGGAAAGGCCACGCACACAATCTCCTGCTCACTAATGAGGTGAATGCTTTCTTTCGTGTGAGTCCAAGGCACTGACTTGTAGCCTCCTGTCAGTACTTACTTGTTTTAAAACTCCTTACTCTTAAATGTCAAAGACGAATAAGAATATATAAGACAGGCCACTTCCTACAAAGTGAGTCATCTCTTATGGAAACAAGCCTGCTTTTGAAGATTTCATTCTAAGTTTTTCTTGTTAGGAGTGCCTTCCGACCCAAAAAAAGAAGCTCTGGGGAAAATACGGCCTGCTGTAAGTGGTCTCATTTTATTTATTTCCTCTAAATGTTCCATATTGAGATCAATGCCTGCGAGAGAAGGGAGTAAGACAAAACACCATTTAAGAGAGATTTTCAGGTTATGCCCAAATGCGTCTTTTTTTTTCTTTTTAAAAGAAAAAGTCTCTCAGTGCTTTTTGATTAAAAAGGTACAATATAGAACCTCAAACAGGTCCACAAATAATAAATGTCCCAGAACATTGTCTCAGCGGTAGTTGTACTAATATGGTTCTGATAACCCCTTTCTCCTGGGGAAACTAATTTGACTTGAGGTAAGAATGCAGTTCAATTCCAAATGAGTTCTTGTAGGTGGAGGGACTATGGACAAATTTATGCTTCTAAGTTAAAATTAGGACCAGTAAAGAATACAATTTTCTCAGACACCAAAAAAGCCCGGCAATTCTCATTTTGGTTCTGAAATTGAGCACATCTATTTTCGGTCTAAAAACTGAAAAAAATCAAGGAGTCAAGGGACGTGAAAAAAGACTTCCAAAGGCAACTTAATTTAGACTTCTACCTACGTAACTATGGAATGATTTACAGGGAGAACATAATCATTTTGGTTGGCAACCTAGCCCTTCATATTTACTGTCATTGGATTTCACCATCCTCTGAAGAGACTTCCTGGAAATTAAATACGACAGAGTCAGATTTGACTGTCTCCAGGGGATCCGAACTTTGAGTATTACTAGTTTCTACCACTTCAAGGAGGGAGCAGGAGAGTTGGGGACATCACTCCCAAGACAACAACACTTAGAGCAAGCATTCTAGAGATGTGGCCATGTTTCCCAAATTCCAATCTGGAACACATGATCTGACAATAGAACTCAATCCTTTCAATCAGAATTGTCCAAGAAATCGAAAGCGTATGCTCACCACGCTTTCAGAATTTTTACACCGTTACTAACCAAGTCTGCCCAAAGGAAGCTAAGTGCCAGGTTGTGAAGAGTCCAGCGATGAGGCCTGTGTGGGCAGCCCCCCTCCCCCCCCCGAACTGATGACGGTGAGACCTGCCCATCTGAACACCAGTTACTGGAGGCCACTGGGCGCCAGCCTGTGCACATATGTGCCTCCACATCTGTGCCAAGGTAGAGTAGAGGATGTAAATGACACCGTCCTAAGTCACCAGCTGACAGTCAAGGAAAGATGAGCCACAGGGGCAACCTGTTTCCTTCAGAGAAAGTAGGGCCAATGATGTCAAAGAGCTTCTAAATAAAAAGAAGCGGTGACTCAAGCAGTCTCGCTCTTATAAACATCTTGGGGCCATTTCACAGAACAAGAAAACCCAAAGCTTTAACTTAAGGCAAGAAAGCTACGTTGCCTGCCTAATCCCAGCCTCTTCTGCCCCTCTTTCACTCAGCACACAGGCATTCCTCTTGTGCTCCGTTTCTAAGTCTTTCTCCCTGAGTGTATTTCACGCCTCCATTTAAACTGTCTGCTTGGGGAAGAAGGGAACACCTCCTCTTGCTTTAGTTACGACTCCTTTTCCTCCTCTTTTCTCTTCCTGCCTGCCTGGTGGGGTGGGAGTTATGGAAGAAGGCAGGATGCTCTGCTACAAGGAGCAGCAGACCACTGCATGATGCCTCCATTCTGCCTGCTCTGGGCCTCCGGTCCCTCGTCTAAATAACTAGGTGGATGTGAGGACCTCTAGGTCCCTCCAAGTTCCAGGGGCTTGCTGTTCTGCTCAGGTGCTCAGCAGACACCATGTACTTGCCAAGGTATTAACTACTATAACACAGATTACTCCAGAATGTTTCAAGCCGGGCTGTCATGTCTAGCGATATGCAGAGTAGAAACCCAGTAAAGGATGAGCGATGAAATCGTAGACCTACATTTGATATCCTGGCCAAACACTAAGAAAACATTTCAAAGGAATTTGATGGTCTGGCAAAAACTCCCTCACAACAGCAGAGCCAGGTAACAGGAGTGGCCTCTCTGGGCCTGGGCTCTGCAATGCCTGGGAAACTGGTGGGGGCTTGGGGAGAGGACCCGGGCAGGAGGACGAGGCAGTTTCATCAGGCTGCTGCTATGGAAACCGGAGGTTCAAGTATACAAGTGTTTCACCCCCAAATTCTCCCTCCCACCAAGGCAAATGGAGAAGGCTCATAAAGGTTACCTTTTGGGGGCTTCTTTCCCCTTTCGAGGTTCCTCTGGTGGTCATTTTAGCTATAGTTACCCATATACAACTGTGTTAGTGTTCAATCAGTACTTGGTGGATAAATGAATGAACTAAGGGAAGAGAAGCTCCATGCTCCAGGCTGACCCAGGGACATATCTGGCCAGCCCAAGAATTAGAAACGTCCCTTTTTTTTAAACCACTATACTTTTTTCCCACCAGGTATTCCCTTTGGAAAGTACTCGTCTCCAAAGAAAAAGAATCACTATCCTGATGGAGTCACCATATCAAAACAGGGACCATAGGAATAGGGGAAAGAAAAATGTAAAAACACATTCTACTCACCATTGATTCACTAATCAGCAATAACAACAGGGCTTCTTCAGTATTTTCTTGAGGACAAAAAATGCTGTATAAAGAAAATTGACTTTGATATATGGCAATTTCAAAATAACACAAAATACGTGACTAAGCAGAACTGAAGGGCTAACAGCTTCTAGATTTTTACATCGTGTAGAACCCATGAAAAATACTGTATAATCTGGGCCCCTGGAGTAATTTGTTTATTTCTATGGTAATCTATGGAATGTATACATTTTAACTACGCATTTTAATAGCAGGCAGCCGGGTAAAGCTGTAGAAACCAAGTTAAAAGCCCAAAGAACGTTTGTGCCTATTACAGAGGTGGAAAGTTTGATCACTACAAACTGACGTTATCTAAATAACACAAGCTTTCTCCTAAACCCATTACGAGGTATAAACTGAAGACGTTTCGCTACATGGTACTCTTCTTACCTCTTACTTGCTAGCTGGCGTATTGTATATTGTCATTTAGATGAAACAGGAGATAGGAAGCAATTTTAGAGTTTGAATGATTTCTAGAATACTGTAAGAACTTAGTGAGCTATCTTACTCAAACACACGTGTACTATGGGGTGGCACGCAGGAGCTGTCTTATTCATCAACTTTATGGGATTTGGTTGAACTCTACCATCTTGGATTAAAATAAAAAGCTTTTAAGCTCAATGTTGCTCAGGATTAAAGAACAATAAAAACCAAACATAACTCTGGTCTCCATTCCCTATATCCTATTTTTTGTGCTCTGAGCGTTTTAAAAGACCTCCAGGGAATTCTCTGGCGGTCCAGTGGTTAGGACTCTGCGCTCTCATCGTCCGGGGGCCGGGGGTTCAATCCCTGGTTAGGGAACTACGATCCCACAAGCCACGGGGCACAGCCGGAAAAATAAAAAACCCTCCAGCATTTTCCCCCGTTCTAAAGTTCTAGCATTCTTTGAGTAGAATTGTAAGTCTTATCACTGGTTGGGCCAAACTCAACTGTTTCTTTTTTTCTCGGTTCTTGCTTTTTTGTTTGTTTGTTTTTCGGCCACGCCAGGCGGGCATGTGGGATCTTAGTTCCCCCACCAGGGATCAAGCCCGCACCCCCTGCAGTGGAAGTGCAGAGTTTTAACCACTGGACTGCCAGGGAAGTCCCATCAACTCTTTTTCGTGGAATGGTAGAAGAGTGCAATAAAAATGAACTTGGTTAAAAAAACTTGGGGATGTTTTGGAGATGACTAAATAAAGACTAAATTTACATCTTCCCAGGGGTAATATTACAATCATTTAACTTAAGAGAAGGGATGATTTCCCCCCCAAAATGGCCCAAAAAATGTTTTCCAAATGATTGCAAATATTTGTTCTCTTTGAAGTGCTGGCAAATTTTGTATTGTGTCAAAGGGCCATGAGGAGTAAGACAGAAAAGTCCAGTGACTGATACTCTTTTTACAATTCAGTCATCCCTGGAGGTAAGGAAACCACCTGTGGGATGGTTCCTATTGCTCCTGCAGGGCTAAAATTTATAAAAGGGCTGGGCTGTGAGTGAGAAGCAGGATTCTGGAATGTGCGGTGACCTCCTTAAAGAGGTAACTTGAGGTGATTTGGGTTTTTGGAAGATGGAACATTTCTTTCCCCTTAAATTCAGAAATAGAGCCAACAGGCTTTGAATTAAGAACGCTCAGGTGTGTGTGTGTCTGTGTGTGTGTCTGTGTGTATCCCCATCCAGCAATCAGTTCCTGATATCCTGGCTCGTGCTTACATGCAGTTGGGACCTTATAAATAAAGCAGAACCATTCATCATTTTTTTCACAGCTACCCAGTTCTGCATTGTCCAGACTAATTGAAAAGAGAGGGAGCCCGTTCTAATCATAACTTAACACCAGCAAATTCAGTCCAGAGATAATCCCCAAATTCCACTTGAGCCATCTAGTCTACTTAAATGTGAGGTTGTGTTATTTTTACTAGAGCTGCTAACAAGTAGCACATTAACTGATTCTAATTCTACTTCCTCTACCCTTCTTTTCAAGGCAGGAAAGATGGGTACTCAGGGGTGCTGCAAAGTTCTCAGGGCTGGTAGGAAGAAGTGGGGGGCGGGGGAGGGGGAAAGGATAGTTTTAAGAGACATGCCTAAAAAACTACCCACTGGAATGCCCCCTTCTCCATAATTATGAATTCTCTAGATCTATTTCTGGTCATTCTTTCCCTCTTCCCTGCCCAGGGAAGTGTGGAGCTCAGGGTGGACAGTCAAAATTGTTGGGGCCCTACTTTTGTGATATTATCCTCTTGGGGCCCAAGAGCCTCAAGGGGGGATCCTGGGGTGCCCAGGCCTCAGCCTTGTGGAGCCAGAAAACTGGGGCCTTAGACCTGGAGGAAGTTGATTGAAGGGATGGTCGTTCGCAGCTTCGGTTCTGCCATCAAGTAGTTGTTAGGACCCTTCAATGTCCCCTATCTTTAAACTTTGAACAGCATCCTCGTCCTTACCAAACCTCTGCATTGGCTACCAGGAGGTTCAGACCTGTATTTAGCACGCCATGATAATTACTTTCTCCTCTTAGGCCTACCGAGGAGCTTAGCACAATGTATGGCACTCCTAGTTTTCAGTAAATCATCACCCACCTCCCGGCATCACAGTGGTTTCTAGCGTCCTCCTTTACTTAGTGCTAATTACCTAGTCTAATATGCATTTAATTATCTAAGCCACCTCAAGCGCTTTTTACAAGGAGGAATACGGTGGAAGTAAAAACATACTTGAGTGACATGCACGCATATGTGGACTAAGGAACATGTATAAGAATATTCATAGCAGCACTATTCCTATTAGCTCCAAATGAGGAACAACGCAAATGTCCATCAAGAGTAGAATGGATCAACATATGGGAGTATATTAATAAAATGGAATACTATTCAACAACAAAAACAAACTACTATTACATGCAAAAATACGGATGAATCTCTCCAATATAATGTTAGACAAAAGAAGTTAAACGTAAAAGTACTTAATATATGATTCCATTCATGTAAATTTCAAAAATGCGCCAGACTAACTACAGTGATAGAAGTCAGGATAGGGTTACCCTTGGGCAGGGAGTAGTAACTGGGGGAGGGTACAGAGAGTCCTTCTAGGGTTCTGGCAATGTCTAGTTCTTGACCAGGATGCTAAATTACTTGCATGTGTTTACTTAGTGAAAATTCATCAAGTTTTCTACTTTTGGTTCGTGTGTTTTTCGCAATGTATATTATGTGTCAGTAAAAAGCTTACTTAAAAAATAAGTAAACAAAAGTCAATAAAATTCTTCATAGAAAGATCTAGAAGAAAGGAAGTAAGGAGGCCTATGGCATGTGATTCTTCCTCTCTTTTTTTACCTTGGATTATCAGCATTTTATTTCCTTTCAACATTTAAGACGGAGAGAGGACGAGCATCCTGTACCCACTTCACATCCAGGTTGCAGTGACGGGGAGGGGGGTTTTCTGGTAGAGGTTATTTTTCAGTAATTGTCCATTATGACCAATGGTCCTGAATGGTCCGTGTGGTTTGCTGGAGCTGGAAGGATCTATGGCACATAAAGTTTGCTTTGTGCTCATGTTCCTCATAAGAGGGGAGAGAGGAGGGACCACCGGCCAAAATGAGATTTAAACATCATCTATGGATTCCCCTTTTTTACCTCCCAACTCACATAACTGAACTGGTGATAACATCTTTTTGCCACAAAACTGCTTGACTGGAGAGTCCTGTCTTGTTAATAAGGAAGCCCCAAGCAGATTTTCTCTCTTTACTAATAAATCAGAAGTCAGGGTATGAACATGCAAAACTAGAAAGCTAAAAGCTGATGGTGATAACTGAAGGAAGAAAGATTAGCACAGAGATTAACTAACTAGAGAAATAGAAACACAATAGAGAAAAATCAACAAAACTGAAAGTTAATTCTCCAAAAAGATCAATAAGACCTGACAAACTTTTTAGGTAGACTGACCCAGAAAAGAAAGAGAAGACTCAAATTACTAAAAGGAGAAATGAGAAATGGAAGAGGGTACATGACTACCAATCTTATAGAAATTATATGTGTGTGTGTGTGTGTGTGTGTGTGTGCGTGAATACTATGAACAACTGTGCTCAGCAAATTAGGTAACTTAGATGAAATGGACAAATTTCTAGAAAGACACAAACTACCAAAACTGAAGAAATAGAAAATCTTAATAGCTCTGTAACAAGTAAAGGGAGTGGATTAGTAATCAAAAACATTCCTACAAAGAAAAGCCCACGACCAGATGGCTTCACTGGTGAATTCTACCAAACATTTAAAGAAGAATTAATAATAATTCCCCATAAACCCTTTCCAAAAATAGAAGAGGAAGGAATATTTCCCACTCATTCTACGAGGCTAGTATTATCCTCATACCAAAATTAGACAAAGACATCATGAGAAAAGAAAATTATAGATCAATTATTTTATGACTATTGATGCAAAAATCCTCAACAAAATACTAGTAAATCAAACTCAGTAATAAATAAGGATTATATACCTAGTGGGATTCACCTAGGAATGCAAGGTTGGCTTCATATCTGAAAATCAATTAATGTAATACATCACATCAGTAGAATAAAGGACAAAAGCCAGATGATCATCTCAGTAGATAGAGAAAAAGCATTTGACAAATTCAAAACCTTTTCACAAAAAAATATACTCAACAAACTAGTAATAGAAGGGACTTTCCTCAACCTGATAAAGGGCATCTATGAAAACCCACAGCTAACATCATACTTAATAGTGAAAGACTGGATGTTTTCCCTTTCCTAAGATCAGGAATAAAACAAAGGTGTCCACTCTTGCCACTTCTATTCAACATTGTACTGGAGGTTCTACCCAGGGCAATTAGGAAAGAAAATGAAATAAAAGCCATCTATGTTAGGAAGAAGTAAAACTATATTTGCAGATGACATGATCTTGTATATAGAAAATCCTAAAGAAGCTAAAAAAAAACTATTAGAACTAATAAACAAGCTCAGCAAGACTTCAGTATACAAGATCAATATAGAAAACCAATTTTACTTCTATATACTTGCAATGAACAGCCCCAAAATGAAATTAATAATAACAATTCCATTTGTGATAGTATCAAAAAGAATAGCACACACACCAAAACACCCTTAAGAATAAGTTTAACAAAAGAAGTGCAGGGCTTCCCTGGTGGCGCAGTGGTTGAGAGTCCGCCTGCCAATGCAGGGGACACGGGTTCGTGCCCCGGTCCGGGAAGATCCCATATGCTGCGGAGCGGCTGGGCCCATGAGCCATGGCCGCTGAGCCTGCGCGTCCGGAGCCTGTGCTCCGCAATGGGAGAGGCCACAACAGTGAGAGGCCCGTGTACCGCGAAAAAAAAAAAGTGCAAACCTTATACCCTGAAAACTACAAACTGTTGCTGAAAAAAGTTAAAGAAAACCTAAATAAATGGAAAGATATCCCATGTTCATGGATCAGAAGACTTAATATTGTCAAGATGGCAATACTCCTCCAACTGAGCTACAGATTAAATGCAATTCCTACAAAATTCCAGTTGCCTTTTTTTTTTTTTTGCAGAAATAGACAAAATGATCCTAAAATTCATGTGAAAATACAAGTGTTTGGGGGATGGCGGGTGACAGCTAAGGGGTGCTAGGTTTATTTTGGGGGTAGTGAAAGTATTCTAAATTTGACTGTAGTGATGGGCTATATGACTATATTAAAAGCTATATTAATGTGAATTGTACACTTTAAATAAATGAATTATATAGTATGTGAATTATATCTCAATGAAACAGTTTAAAAAAATGTGTGTATTTGTGTGAAATGAAACTTGTGTCTCAGTAACCTGTCACATGGGAATCTTCCCTTTAACTAATAACTTCATTTAACTAGATCTGCATTTTGCCTCCATGATTCTCCTTGTACAGATGGGGAAACGGATATTAAAAGAGTGACAGAGGCTGAGTGGTTTAGGAAATAAGGGAGAAGTGGCCAGCACTGTGAGCTTCTCTGCCTTCAAGGGGTGAGGCCACACTGGAATCGCACCCAGAGAGACACAGGGCTTCATCCATGTGTCAAACTTGATTGGGGGAGGGAACAAGAATTAGATTCTTCAATATACCGGCACTTTGGCTATTAAGAAGCATCTGAAGCAGAAGAAAACTCTAGGATCTATTTTTAAGATTTAAATATCACCTAAAAAAGAACCCCAATCCTGCTGCTAAATAATGCATAATGAGGGGTCAGCATTTTAAAAGTGAGTTTGAGAATTGCTAGAACAGATGTTCTATGAATCCGGATAAGTACTAAGGAGTAAACGCAGGGAAAAGTTAAGAAAATGCTCAGGAGTCTGAATCCATATAAGAAATGCAAATTGAACAAGGTGAGGAGGGAGACAAATGCCAGGGTCAATTTAAGAGGATTAAGAGGCAGTTACCCTGAGAAATGCTGCCCCTTGTAAAATGCGGCATTGCGTTCAGAAGTCACACACGTAATAACTATCTAATCACCCCATGTCTGTCAGTGCTTTCTGGGGCCTCAGAAGCAGCAGCCTGCGGTCTTTCAGCCATTTTTCCAATTTGTAATGACTAAAGAAGGTTTCCGTATTTATTCTTACACGTTCCCCTTTGCTTCATGGAGAGGTTCTGAAAAGCCATCATGCCTTGTCCTTGTAGGAACAAAGACGGGAAGGAAAGCTTTGAGGGGAGGAATGAGTCAACCCCTGTTCCCGTCTCCCCGCCTTCTTGTGGTCTCTCTCCCTCCCACCTCCTCCTTCCCGGACCTGGGGAAATCCCAGGCTGAGACCGGAGTGTTTCCCTAGCCCATTTTCCTCAAAGGTGATCAAGTTCCCAATCCAAAACTTAAACCAACTAAAACATTCTAAAGAGACATCACCTTCCAATCACCTTTAAATTATCAAATTCGTCTTCTTCTTCCAGCTAATTCAGTTTAAAACAAGCTTTTAAACAAAAGGATCAAGGAATTGCTGAGGAAAAGTAAAGAAAAGTCAACTCTGGCTTACTAATAGCTTTGTCACTGACTGCTGTATGGTTCTGCGGTTCTTATAATAAACGAAATGAAAATCCCCAAGACCAACAGTGAAGGCTGAGAATGGCAGCCAAGCACTAGATGAGAGCATTTCCCTGCTCAAAACGTCCCCACTCAGGCATGGATATTTGCTGAAATTATGAAGAGTAAAGAGCTATCTTTATTAAACTGGTAGAAAATCTACCCTTGAACTTCTATTCAATCCTTACATTTTCCTGAAGTTTCCCTCCCATCCCCTAACCTACAGATGAGGACACCAACTCCCATACTTCTCTCCTGAGTAGACACGGGCTTTCCGCGTGAGGGTGTAGGTTTTTGTGTTTGCTCCTTTCCGGAGAGGATCGTCCAGAGGTGACTGGCATGGTGGATTCTCCAGAGGGTTCCAGTAGCTCTGCTCACACATACCCCGCAACAAGATCTCCGCCAGCTGCCTGGCTATTGTCTGGGGACACAAAGGAGCAAAGGCACAGCCATGAATCTATTTTGTATCATTCATTCATTCATTCGCTCATTTAATAAATATGTTTCAGTCATCACTTTGTCATCACTGTTCCAAGACTCATAATTAAAAATGTCTACTCCTATGATGAAAATTATATCAGTTGATGACAAAAAAAGAAAAGAAAAAATGATACACTAAGATATTTGAAAGATTAAAAAAGAAATAAGTTTATGCCCTTCAAATGCTGCCCTGCCTCTGTTATACTCTGGAACACTAAACATGTTTTATACCGGAAACAACTGAAACTTTTAGTTAAGCTCTTTTCCAAAAGCTCTTATAAATAATAGGTGAACTGTAAATATTTTCATCACCTCCCAACCGAGGCCTGCCAAAGCCCGACCTTGGCAGAAAGCCAGTACTCAACCTAGATGATGTAATCCCTGAAAAAAAATCTCTTCGTTGATGATAAGATGATGTTCAGTGCAGATTTTTAGAATGTCTTCCTTCTTCGGAGTGCCAAGGGCAGGTCCTTCACAGCCCCACCCTGCGACTGCGGCTCAGTACCTGAGGCCCCGTGCTTACTGCATCCTGGCCCTTCAGCCCAAAGGTTCCCACTGGCCTTGAGCAAAGTGGAGAGCTGGCAAAGTGACTATGGCTACTGATCCAGAAGACCGTTTTTTTAAAGCTGGGTAGGGATCTCCTTTCTTACTGTGAAAACCCAGAAACATCCAGATCTTGTTCTTCTAAGTTAGGTGCAGATTACTATGTTTTTCCAAACTCTATAGCTCCACTGCCTAGAACAGCATCACGTAGATGTATGGGGGAGGGAGATGTGGCAGCTACTAAGAAGTACTTTGTTAACTGATGCATATCACTTAACTTACCTCGTAATCTTCCAGTGACAAAGAGGAGAAGTAAAAAAAAAAAATCCCTCCGAAAATAGAAGCGCTGCATCTCAGGGTGGTCCAGGCCGCCTCACAATCCGCCAGAGGTGGCCAAAGATAACTTCAACCAGCAGGTTTTTCCACAAGGTTTTAGCATTCTTTGGAAGATGCAGGCAAAGAATGCTGATCTTCCCTGACAGTGAGCCTTTTTAAATAAACATTTTCCAGAGGAGAACTTTGCTAGGCTTTCACCCATGTGAAATCTCTTAAAACACCACAAGGAATCGTAAATGCAACCAAATCACTAGCTTAGTGGTTTCTGATAGCCACTGGGTAAAGGCAAATTTTCTTCATTATTCCAAAGTAAGACTCACTAGCTTTAAATGTCTATAAAAATGTGAAATTAAATGCACTCCTATCATCCCCAACTGAGCCATCTGTAAAGATCTCATAAGAGCACAATTTTTAGGACCTAAACAGTTCCTGAACTGTTTTCTTAAACCTTCCATTACAGCCTCATTTTGATCTCACTGCAGTCATATAAGCTAATGACTTCTGCTGGAAGCGTCAACTAGCAAAAATAACCTCCACTCACTATAGCTGAGAAAAAAACGTTAAAGGAGAAAAATGAACAAAGAACTTCACTTTCTGGATGTATCTGCCATGGAGGGATTCTAAAGTTGTAAAAGTCTCTGCCCTCAAAACAGTTTGCTTGTCCACTGCTGGATAGCTCACGCTAGATCTCATTTTCCCTCAAGGTATTAACCTTCCAGAGAGATTTTTAAAATGAGGTTATGTGATTGCACATTTTAAAGGCATCACCTCGTCATGCATTACCAATTAGGAAGGATGTTGGCTGTGTTCACTGAAATCTCAAATGAAGTTCAGAAAAGGAGATTAAATATGAGAAATTATCAGCAAGATCACCAATATCTATGATACCTTTTATGTTTTATACTCCGGTTATATTTAGCTTGTGGTTTAAATGTCTAAAAATTGTTGGTAGCTACCAAATACATTTCAAATACATTTAGAATTAAAGGAAGGAAAGGAGAGAAGCTGGTCTGGAAGAAGACTTGAACTTCTTTGTACAAACTGGGTCATTAAATGCACTTTTTTGTATGTGATTTTAAATTGTGATAAAATTCACATAACATAAAATTCACCATGTTAACCATTTTAAAGTGTACAGTCCAATGGCATTTAGCACATTCACCATGTTGTACAACCATGACCACTCTAGTTCCAGAACATTCTTTACCCTAAAAGGAAACCCCATACCCTCTAAGAAGTCACTCTCCATTCTCCCTCCTTCCACCCCCTGGGAACAACTAATCTGCTTTCTGTCACTATAGGTTTGCCTCTTCTGGACATTTCACATAAATGGAATCATATAATATGTGGTCTTTTTGTGTCTGGCTTCTCTTACTTAGCATAATGTTTTCAAGGTTCATCCATGTGGTAGCATGAATCAGTACTTCATTCCTTTTTATAGCCGAATGATATTCCATTGTATGGCTAGACCACATTTTGTTTATTCAGTCATCAGTTGGTAGACATTTAGATTGTTTCCGTCTTTTGGCTACTGTCAATAATGCTGCTATGAACATTCATACACAAGTTTTGCTTTGAACACCTGCTTTCAATTATTTGGAGTACTTATCTAGAAATGGGGTTTCTGTGAAAGTACTTTTAAATCCTTCTCTGCTATGGTCTCACACCAGAGTTTACAAAGCAACTTTTTCATCTCATAAGGATATCATAAATTTGTAATTATCAGCTAATCTAAAAAGAATCATACAGCAATTAAGGCTGATGGAAACACTGTCTTATAAGTGGCAATAGCTGGAGAAGTTTCCTGATGTCCACCGGAAACCAAGACACCGGTGTAGACTTCCCAGGAAATGCTTCTCAACTAGAGTGGGCAAAGACTCACTTGTGGAAACTAGAAAATACGGATTTTCGGGCCCTGCCGCAGACTGACTCAGTTGGCATTTCTGAGGTCAGGTACAGGGATGTGTATTTGCTCAAAGTTCCTCAGATGGTTCTGATGCACACCTTTCGTTAAGCACTCAAGGGATTAGAAACGGTTTAACTTAGGTCACTTGAGAACCATCAACCAAGACCAAAGGTGTACTTGCAACTCAAGTGTGACATTGAGTGGGAAGTGACTCCCCCGCTTACATTAACACTAACCAGTCAGTTAACAGCTGAAAGTGCCCAGGGGCAGCTTTATCTACACAGGCTTTCTTTAGAAGCCTCTTCACTGGGCTTCTCAGAAAAAAGAAAAAAAAAAAAAGAAGAAGAAGAAAACTGTCTTCCTTCCTAACATCTCTAGTCAGAATCCTACCTCACAGGATTTTTATAAGTTAAAACACATTGATTTGAAAATCATAAACCTTAGACAATAATGGAAGATATCCTCTAATTTTGATAAATAATATTGGAGTAAGCAGCAAGCAGATTCTCACAGTGCAGTGCATGCACTCAACCTTTTAATGAGGAAACACCCTTTATTTCCTTAACAAAGTATATATTTTTTGAGAGTCTATAAGCAATTTTGAAAGACTGGCTTTTTTTTTTTTATTTTTATTTATTTATTTATTTATTTATTTATGGCTCCGTTGGGTCTTCGTTGCTTTGCACAGGCTTTTTCTAGTTGTAGCACATGGGGGCTACTCTTTGTTGCGGTGTGTGGGCTTCCCATTGCGGTGGCTTCTCTTGTTGCAGTGCACAGGCTCTAGGCATGCGGGCTTCAGTAGTTGTGGCTCGCGGGCTCTGGAGTGCAGGCTTGGTAGTTGTGGTGCACGGGCTTAGATGCTCCGCGGCATGTGGGAGCTTCCCGGACCAGGGCTTGAACCCGTGCTCCTGCACTGGCAGGCAGATTCTTAACCCCTGAGTCACCAGGAAAGCCCAAAAGATTGGCATTTTAAATGTGCTTTTAAAACAAGTATAAGAACACTTGCCAATATAACCAGTTACTTTCATTGTGCTTCCAAATCTTAGAAGAAGCTATTCATGCTGACCAGTTCAGAAGTTTTATGGAATGTTGGGAGTAGGTCAGTTTGAGAGAAAAGATAGATGGCAATAATTTTTATCCATATATATATATTTTTTTTGCGGTACGCGGGCCTCTCACTGTCGTGGCCTCTCTCGTTGCGGAGCACAGGCTCCGGATGCGCAGGCTCAGCGGCCATGGCTCACGGGCCCAGCCGCCACACGGCATGTGGGATCCTCCCGGACCGGGGCACGAACCCGTGTCCCCTGCATCGGCAGGCGGACTCTCAACCACTGCATCACCAGGGAAGCCCTATTCATATTTTTGCAGGGTTTTTTCCCTTAAAGGACTGTGAAGATCAAAATGTTTTGTTTGAACTTCTGAAGGCACCCATAAATCATATAATACATAAGCAGATATCGAAGACCAAGTGAGTTCTTGGTGCGGTGTGTGTGTGAAGTCGCCCGTCTTGTCTTACCTCCCATAATTCTAGGAAAGCCTATGGCTTAGCCATCTGGGCCAGTGAGTTGTATGTCCACATCCTTAGCATGAAGATACAGCCCCATTTCCCAGGACAGGAATCTCTTAGCCTTGCCCAACTGAACACTGTCCCACAGCATTTAAAGGACTCGTGATAATGGGAGGACAACAGCATGCATGACGGTCTTAGTGGGGCTGCCACATCGGCTGGGGCCTGGGGCACTTCTTAGCTTCCATGAGCACCAGGCCTCACCCAAACACTCGATGACTCTGGCTCTGAAGGGTAAACTGTGGAGGTATAATTAATGAGCCTCCCAGACAGGAAGGTGAAAGGTTTAAAAGGAAAGAGAGAGAACTCAAGTCAACAGGAGAGCCAAGCTGCTGATCAACCAGTCTATTTCACTAGCTTTTCTATTTCTGGGTTTTATGGTCACTATAGTTAGTCCAACAGCTAGGTTCTCCTCAGGATCTAATCTGCTTTGCTCTGTCTGGGTTTTGGTATGAATCATCGGCCTACAACTAACCCTTCACCGCACTGGCATCAGGAGGGTATACCTTCTAACTGCTATACAGGATGCATTTTTTATGTTTCAAGAGAGAGCATTACCGAGAAGCAACTGAAAAGATGCTCAACATCATTAGCCATCAGGGAGTGCAAATCAAAACCACAATGAGACAGCACTTTACACCCACTAGGATGGCTAGTCTATAATGTCTATATTACTAAAGAAAAAGATAATAAACACGTGTTGTTGAGGAGATGGAAAAACTGGAACCCTCATAATTTCTGGTGAGAATGTAAAATGGTGCAACCAATTTGACAAATAGCTTGGCAATTCCTCCAAATGTTAAATGTAGAGTTACCATATGACCTAGCAATTCCACTCCTAGGTATATACTCAAGAAAAATTAACACATACATACACATAAAAACTTGCATGAGAATGTTTGTAGCAGTATTATTCATAAAAGCTGAAAAGTGGAAACAAAAAATGTCTATTGACTGATGACTGAATAAACAAAAATGTGGTCTATCCATACGATGGAATATCATGCTGCAACGAAAAGGAATGAAAGACGGACACATGGTATAACGTGAATGATCCTTGAAAACACTATGCTAAGTAAAGGAAGCCAGTCACAAAAAAGACCACACACTGTATAATTCCATTTATATGAAATGTCCAGAAGAGGCACACCATAGAAACAGGAAGTAAATTAGTGGCTGTCAGAAGCTGGGGAAAGGGAAGAATGGGGATTGACTAGTAATGGGCATGGAGATTTTGGGGGAGTGATGAGAATGTTCTGAAATTAAATATTAGTTTCAATTCTAATTGAAACTGAACAATTCTGTGACTACTAAAATCTCATGACTTTGGGTGAACGTATGATGTGTATATATATATGCTTCACTGAGATATAATTTATAATGTATAATGTCTATATTACATAGTATGTTATGATATATAATATATTATTTATAATACACGTATGAAAGAGAGAGAGGCACTTGAAGTGCCTCGGGCCTCAGCCAAGTCATTAGTTACACTTACCATTCGCAGGTTCTGGGTTGTTCTCGTTTCCACTGCTCTGAGGATCTCTCTAAATCTCCCGACTCCTCGCGTCAAGTTCCTGTGTGCACACAGAATTTGACAGGGTTTCCGTCTGGCGTGTATTAATGTTAAATATTTTATACACATATTTCAATTCATTTTGCCTACATAAAAGCTGTTGGCGAGACTGTAAGCAATCATTCTGCACCTGCCTGTCCATCTTTGTTCAACTCTGAAAAGTTTGACCTAGGATCAATGGTCTTTTGAACTTCCAGAAATCAATTTTCTCGAGAAAATAAATGTCGGAAGATCAGAACCGAGGCAAAAAACAAAAGGCAAGATATCTTTCCAGAGTCTATCTTCTACCTCACAGTGGCTGAGGAGTTTTCCTGCTCTGCTGAGTGGTGCTGAAAACTCTATCTTTTCACCGCAAGGTGGGTGGCAAAGGGGTACAGGAGTATCAACAAGGCACTGTGTGCAACGTGGGAAAGGCTTCTTGTGACCTGCAACCTTTACAGGCAAGACAAAGAGAAAAGGTATGAAAAATGAGGGGCTCCACCAAGCAACCACTCCGTGTCTTCGAGAACATACGTCACTGCCCAGTAAACCCATCGGCCCCTCCTGCCCCCAGCGAGGCAGAGGGTCACAGCCCCTCCCACAGTTAGTGAGCGCTGGCTGGAGGCTGGCGCCACCTGACTGGGGCCAGCATACCTCATTTTGGTGCCCACACACCTCACAGAGACGTGCAGGGCGACACGTTTCGTGAAGGGACAGTAATTTGTTAGTAAATCCCGGTCCATATGCCCAGACCCCACTTGCTGTCTGCCCCCTCTGAAAGCTGTGCCTGACCCATTCAGCTGGGAGCGTTTCCCAGCAGGTCCCTTTACATCGAGCACCGCCACCTCCTACGACAGAACCCCGTGATATTTATAACCTGCTCGTTAGAACACATCTCAGCTTTCCAAAAAAGCCACAGAGCGGGTCAGCCGGTGCGGACCTGTCAGCCAGCCTCTGCAGTCTGTGGCAGAAGTTCTAGGTATTCAGCTCTCTTCTTGGATGACATTTTGAATCACACAAAGGGATTAAATCAAACTGAAGGTGAGTTCTGTATGCTACGAGCACTCACAAGGGCTATTAATTCGTGTCTTATACCTAACGTGACATCCCAGGACACTGATTCACAAGAACAGCCCCAGAACTTGAAGGTAATGGTTTATTGGCACAGATACGTCAATACTCCCATATCCCTCTCACCCACACATATCAGATGATACCAGATCAGAAGCTTTACGGTGGCATGAAAAGAGAGGCTTGCGCTTGGCAGACCAGGCAGCACTAAAGGAGACGTGAATAAAAATTAGGTAACAGGTCCTGGGGCATGCAATCTACACTGCTGCTTTCCCCTTCGTTTGCTTTTATGGGATCTGTGTTCACAGGTACCAGAGTACACTTGCTTTGGACTGAAGCTTGGTTCTGTTAAGTAACATGGTGGGGACAAAACAGCCACAGCTGACAAAGGGGATGGGCGGGGCAGAGCAGTCTCATTTTATTCCAGAATCGCAGATTAAGCTCCTACTATGTACAAAAAGAATGGCGTTTTGAACTGCGTGAAATAAGGTGGGACTGGGACAATATAGTTGGAGACCCAGGTTTAAAGGGCTGTTTTAGCGGGGTGGAAATTAAGCCTTGAGTAGGCAGTATCAAATCTATATAAGTCAGGGAAAGCTATCAGATGGGAATTGGCCATTTGGAATGTCTCCCAGGCCCTCTTTGCAGAGTGAGATACCTATCCAGTTACGCAAGCACAGAATCGTTTAGTTATAAGTGATCTGACACAACCTAGTCCACTGGGACACAGAAGAGAAACGGCTTGCTCAGACCTCCACACCCAGTGAGAGGGAGAGCTGGGACCTTTCGACCCAACCTCTCACCTTCCTGACAAAAGAAATGTGAGCCCTCAAAGTGAAGTGCAGCTCTAGAAGAAAGAACAAAATATGCATACGAGAAAGGTCTATGTTTTACATCATTAACATGAAAATTAATATATATACATAATACAAATCGGATGCGCTCCAGTGCTCCCAGCTAATGAGATTCTCCTAGGAAGTGGTTCAAAACTGGAAAGAAAATCTGCTGGCCCAGGTGAAGCAGCCTGGTGTCCAAGGGTGAGGCCTCAGCTGCCCTAAATGAGAACCGACGGGTAGAGAAATTCAATTCCCCTCTGAGGCCGAGGTGTGGTTTCTCCCGTGCAGGACCGAGGCCCTCTGGTGGCGACTTCAGGAAGTCTCCGTGACCGAGAGGACGCCGCACAGGAGGCCAAGCCGGTAGCAGCTGAGGGCGTATTCCTGACGCATTGACACTGCCTTTGAGGCAAATTCAAGTTTTTCTCAAACTGCTTCCAGTTTACTTCTGGGAAGAGCTTAGGATTCAGAACCAAATTCTTCCTGAAGCTGGGAGGAATCCTGCTTGTCAACAGCAGATCTGCAGTAACCGCAGAATGTCTCAGAAGGCCTCCGGCTGTGCTGGTCAAACGGCAGCGTCAGGACAACCATGAGGCTGCCTGTCCACCCACAGGGCAGGAGGGAGGGGGACTGGAGGGGAGAGATCACCCAGCTTAAATATCAGAAAAGGAAATAAATATTCTAAGCGCAAAGACATACAATTCTCAGCAACTCTTATACCATTCATACATGTTTTTAGTCACATAATTTTATTCAAGCAATCACTTCCACTGTTGCCATGACAGCAGAAAAAAAAATTTTTAAGCTAGATGGATAATCATGATAGAAAGGAACAAAAAAAGGAATTAACTTGCAAGAATTCCATTCTAAAGGCTATGAAATACCCCAATTTGAGGGAAATAAACAAAAGCCACATGATTGTTTTCATGTCTCTAAACTCTTAGTTTATTCTTAAAATGTGGAGACCCATGAACTACCTGGAATGAACCGCTGCTTAAAAACTCCACTCCAAAATGAAGAGAAGAGAGACAATGAATTTCCCCCGTTTTGAGGGTTTCCACAGACCCTCGACATTAGGTCATTTGTTCCATTTCAACACCCTTGACTGAGAGAGTGCAATGATGTCAAAATCCATTATGGTAAACTATTCTTAAAAGGAAGGTTCTGGCCAGCATTCGAGCAGCAGGCACTGGCAAGCGGTCAGAACTTGGGGTTCAGCCCCTGCACCTCGCTTCCTGAGCTGGGTGCCCTTCCCTCCATGTGGAACGGTTCCCAACAGCTAAGCTCTTACCACGGAGAAAGGGCCTGCAAGTCCCTTGAGCACCAGCTGGTTGTTCAGCCGGACAGGCAGGTGAAACCTGCCAACATCACCGACAGTCCCCAGCCCAGCAGAGAGAGCCCAGGCCAGCGTCCTCAGCCTTGCTCTCGTGCAAACCCAGGCAAAGGAAAGCCCATCCACGGTTCACGGGGACACGTTCTAATCCCCCCCTTGACCTACTTCCTTTTTTTCTTCTCTCCTCCCTTTTCCATCAGGTTTCATCCTCCTCCCCCTGAGCCTCCTCCTTCCAGGTCTCGTGTGCTGGTCCTCAGGTCACTGCAGAAGCATGACTTCCTGAGGACACCCAGGGAGGGCACTGACTGGCCAGCGCTCGGCCTCCCTCTTGACCCTTTGGGCCCTGAAAGCAGCACTTCTGAAGGCTGGTGTCTGAAATGTACATTCTGACGTACAAACCTACAATCGAACCAAGGGGGAAACGTACACGGGAAGGAAGCCAGAGTTCCAAAATCCAAATCCAAACGGAAAACCGAGGCTGGGAGAAACTCGGAGACCGGAGAACTATTTCACCTGGTTATGGGCAGCTATTTCAACTGCAAGCTCAATATATTTTATTTTTATATTTTTTATGTTCATTTCTTGGGAGCAGGGTGGAAAAATGCAATTCTTCCCTTAACCTGTCCTTCCATACTCTCTTCTAACCTCAGAGTTTGGCCCAGGCCACCAATGCACTCAAATTCAATCTCAACTGTCATTGTCATCGCAAACTCAAAGTTCTGATGTGAATAAAATACTGGATGTCAAATTCCTGGGTAACAAGGGAAAGGTACCACTGCCAGCGTAGGTTCAGTATTTTTTCTCCTTCTCTGTGGTGGAGAACTTTATAACTAAAGATCAATTTTAGAACAAGTCAACACAGTAGATCTCTTAGAGGTAAGAAATCGTTCGGCTTTTTCCATGTTCTTTCATACCAACTGGCGCTTCTGAATCTCTTAAGCAGTAGGTTATTTCAATAATTACTGAGCACTGTTACATATCGGGTTCCAGGCTCATCCCTGAGGATACACTGGTGGACACGGGACAGCACCAGGAAGCTTGGATGGCTTCACATCCCCCATAAGAACCTAAGCGCCTTGAGGACCAAGATCTTTGTTTTGCTCACTGCCGTATCCCAAGCCCCTCAAACAGAGCTGGCATCCAGAAAGTGCTCAATAAATATGTGTTGAATGAATGAAAGTCAGAACTACCATGAGCTGAGTGAACCACGACCCCGAGGGGATGCATTTTCTACCTGTTTCTTACCCCCTTCGTTCTCACTGCACATGGACTGGCAGGCAGCACAGCAAGCTCCCTTTAAACAGAATACGTCTCATACATCCTCAGTCGTGTTTGTAGCATGGGTGCCTGGGAGAGCAGGGAAACGCCTGTAGCAAGCAACGTACCCAGGCATGCCCAGCCTGCCAGCTTCTAGAGGGTTGTGTGGATAATGAGGATTTCGAGACTTTTGAAAAAACCTTTCGGACAGTTCAGGGAAACCTTGCTGCCCAGGTGCCTTTCCACATGCTCCTCTCTCTCTTTAAAGAGTCCTAAGTCATCCTTCAAGACCCAGGTCAAAGGCCACCTTTGAGAACCTTTTGTGAGCTTCCCCAGGAAGACACGACACTGCCTCCTGGTGTTGCCAACAAGTTTGTACATTTTTTTTTTTTTTTTTTAATTTTTGGCTGCGTTGGGTCTTCGTTGCTGCACGTGGGCTTTCTCTAGTTGGGGCAGGAGGGGGCTACTCTTCGTTGCGGTGCGGTGGCTTCTCTTGTTGTGGAGCATGGGCTCTAGGTGCATGGGCTT